TTAATAAAAAAGAAAGTCATAGGTAAATTGATGTGATCGTTTGGGTAAATGCTAAAAGTGGGATAGGGGAGCTCTATGTGGAGACTTTTGAGGAACCTTTATACTGCTTCCCAAAATGGTTGAACAAGTTTAAATTCCCACCAACAATGCAGTAGGGTTCCCTTTTGGCCACATCCCCTCCAGCATCTGTTGTTATTAGATTTCTTGATTATAGCCATTCCAACTGAGATGAGGTAGAATCTCAATGTTGTTTTGATTTGCATTTCTTTTATGGCTAAAGAGGTTGATCAATTCTTTATGTGTCTATTGGCCATTCCTATTTCCTCTTCAGAGAAGTTTCTCTTTAAGTCTTTAGCCCACTTATTTATTGGACAGTTGTTTCTTTGAGGGTTTGTTGTTGGGGGATTTAATTTTTTGAGTTCTAAGTATATTTTAGATATGAGACCCTTGTCTGTTGTATGGCTAATGAAGATCTTCTCCTAATCCGTGGGCTTTCTATTGATCTTGCTAGCTATGTCCTTTGCCATGCAAAAGCTCTGCAGTTTCATGCAATACCATTTGTCCAACCTTTCTTTGATTTGTTGTGTTTCTGGGTCTCTATTAAGAACATTTCAGCCTGTGCCAAGGAGTCCTAGAGTTTTTTCTATTCCTTCCTGTAAGGTTTTCAGGGTGTCTGTTTTGACTTTGAGGTCTTTGGTCCATGTGGAGCTGATTCTGGTGCAGGGTGATATATAAGGATCTAACTTTATTTTTCTACAGGTGTTTAACCAATTTTGCAACACCTTTTACTGATGAGGCTATCTTTCTTCCATTCTATTTTTTTAGCTTCCTCATCAAAGATTAGGTGGCTATAGGTCATAGTCTTTCTTTCTCTGCTCATTAAGTCGATAACAAGATAGTTGGGTTTTTTTTCTTCCTGGTAAGTTGCCAAAAATGCATGTCTCTGATAATCCAGAGACTATCCTTCCTTCCCAGTCTGTGTCTCTAGGTTACTCAAATTCTTCTAACATCAGTAATGCTCAGAACCTTCACAAACTAATATCCGGAGATTTCAATCAAATCCTCTGGAGTCAATACTGAATAAGGTCAAAGGAAGCAAGCTTAAAATGTCATGTGTGCTTGGTTTTCTAATGTGCAGTTGCCACAAATACTTCTCTAAATCTCAGTGGTGTGGCTTTAGTAGGATGCTCTCTGTATCAGAGCCATTCCCCTGTGGCTGGAAAGACAAATCATTGGTCTGGGACTCCTGTTCCATGAGCTCCCATCTCCCTGCAGACAGGTTAATATTCCTCACAGAAAATGGAACATTTCTGCATTTCCACTCCTGTAGTAAGTGTGGTCATCTGAGTGTAGTCTCTGGGGAGATCACTGAGAATCACATAGACTGAAATGCAGCATACAGTGGGAAGGATTAGCACTCAGGGGCATGCAGGAGGTCTCCTTTCATATTGTGAAGCAAGCCAGACCCCAAAAAGTACAGGCTGCATGGTTTTCCCTCCTTTGTAATAACTAGACCATGCCCATGATATTCCTAGCAGAGGACCACAATAGCTCAATCACTAGGTGCATGTGACCATATACAATGAAGTGAATCAAAATGAATTCCAAGAAATGGAAACAAGATATTTTTATAGCATACTGTTTGTAGTTATTTCCTTTTACTTTCTTTTTTCCCTTTGGTTTATGTCCTGCTGTCAGACTGAGATGGAGATGGAGACAAAGACAAAGACAGAGGAGACAAAGATAGACCAGAGGGGAAATAGAAAATGGGCTGTGAAATGGCTCAGTGATTAAATGCTTGCTTAGGAGGAGCAAGGCCCTGAGTGAAAAGCCCAGTACTGGAGAGAAGGGAGGGTATGGGGAAAACAAAGGAGGAAGCAACAATGTTCAATAGGAAATGTACTCATTACCTTGCTCATGTAACTATAACCCCTCTGTACAGCATGTTTACAATAAAAATGTACCAAAAATGAAACTTTGTACTAGAGGAACATAAGGCAAGGATCTTGTTTCCCTGAAGTACATAGTATATAAAATAACTCTTTCAAAAAGCAATGTGAAGAAGAAATAATAAAGTAAGATCCCATTTATAAGTTAACAGCATATGTGGGATTCTGGCTAAAAAGCTTTGTTCATTAAGTCTGCTACAGCATCCAACATTCAGACAAGCCATATAAGAAGCCAATATCATCCTTCTTATGTGAGAAGACTAGAACACAGACTAAAATCACTAAGTAAGTCACACATCTTCTGAGTGGCCAGATTGGTTGGCTCAGGGTTTAAATAAGAGATTCATTTCATGGTAAGCAGCTTTAGGGTCTAGGTCATCTAAGATTACATTCAACTGTGAGTTATGTTAGGTTTTCTGTGAGGTAATTTAGAAAAATACATTAGATAAGGAGCCTATTTTTTTTCTCTAAGAAGTTTTCAGAGGAAATCAGGAGCAAGGTGTGACATTTTAGTCACATTTATTAAACAAAAATAAAAACAACATGCAAAGTACTATATTAGCCACTCCAAAGAATATACAGTTAAAAGATGAATTCAGTGCTTCACCAAACCTGTTGGAGTTCATGGTTTCATATCAGAGGGAGATACACCAAATTCCATTAAATGAATAAAGAAAGGCATGACGGAGTAGGCAGTGTTAAAACTATGACTTTGTCAAGTGAAGACCCTAGGCTTAGTTTTCTTAAAAGGGTACCTGAGTATGGTTTAAAGAAGCACCTGGGTGCATGATTTTGGAAAAAATAAAGTAGGAGCATACTGGAAAGAAGGGTGAATGAATATAAGAGCATTCAAGAAATTTTCTATTTTGATTAGAATCAGTATTTAAAGGTGTGAAACAGAGAAAACAGAGATCAATATCAGTATCTGAATCAAAGCCAATACCACAGAAGTGACTGGTTACTTTCTAAGTCCTCCAACAACAGTTGGGCCATCCTAGGTCAGTCACACAGGAAGGCATTCTCAAATGACATAAAATAATAAACATGAAGTCCTTAATTACTATTCCAAATGGAGTCTATCTGCTAATGTAAATCAAAACCAATAACATCCATCCCTATACAGTCCACAGCACTAGGACAGCATGATCAAGGTGAGAATTATAAAGAGTAGAACACAGTTATCCATCTTTAACAAACTCACTGACTCAGATGCCTGGATCTTATGGAAAGCTATGCCTGCCCCTGATACAAATGAGAACCTGCCAGAACAGGCTTGAAAGTATGAGACAGGAAATTTAACTGTGTATTTAAAGTAGGCAGGGAGGAGTAAAAGTACACAGGATGGCTGAAATCTGATGGAAAATTCAGGTAAGATTGTACAAAGATAAACATTAATAGGGAATATTTGAAAAGCAAAAGCTATTTCACTTACACTCATGCACACACAAATATGAGTTACCTTTTAAAAATGTAAACATCACTATAGATTTAAAAACTACAGAAAATTCATAATCCAAAGAAGTAGAGTTAATTAAAAATGCTAGTAAGATCCTTCAGCAATAGAGGAGGCAGGAGGTGGAGTATTTCACCTACTATGAAAGAACAAAGTTCTAGAGTCAACCACTGAAACTGCAAAAGAAACTCAATGGAGGCCAAACAACGAAAAGCTCAGGTTGAGCTTTGTTAAAGGGAATCAACAGATAGAACACATGGGCATATAGGAAATGATCATTTAAAAACTGAGAAGCATTTAAAAGTATTGGAATCTACCCAGATGCCCCTCAGTAGATGAATGGATCAAGAAAATGTGGTATATATACACAATGGAATTCTAAGCCTCCATCAGAAAGAATGTCATTGCCCCATTTGTTAGGAAATGGAAAGGCTTAGAAAAAATTATA